GGAAGGATGGGAAGGGAGTTAGGCGCTAAAGTGAAGGAACGCATAAAACCAAAAGAACTGGGTGTGTTAGGCCAGTAAGGACTCTACGTTGCCAATCGTCGTAGGGAAGGGGGGGGGTAGACTGGAATACGTGCCAATTCGCAACACTATCCAATCCCTTTCTAATTATTTCGATTATAAAATAAAACAATCGATAAAGTCAATTTTCGATAAGCTCCTGGAAAACAGGAGGGGGGGGGGGTAGGAAGAAGTGAAGTAATAAGTTAAATCCTAAAGAGCGTTCAGTAACTATAATCACCGGTCAAGCTACTTGGATATCCTCTAACAGCACCAATAATCTTCCCGGAAGCTAATGGTCGACACCGGTGTTTCCAAGAGCCAAGAGCTGTATATTGGACGAGAGGGGGGGGGGTCTGGGGTCTGGAACAAGCATCAGGGCAGAATGAGTTGAAACCGGGCTATAGCTAAGAGTTCGAATGAAGAAGCGCTAAAAACAATTGACTACGCTACACTCCCTGTTTGTCAGATGAGAAAGTAATCAATCCCTTTATCTCACAGTTAGACCAACGCAGAGTTATGTTTCAATGCGTCTGTTCGAGAGAATGACACGAGCTTTGTTCCAGCCTACACCTCTAAGACGAAAGTAAATTAGAGGCATAGGCCAAAGCAGGCATGTATTGGCTTACTGTTTCGCCACTTGCTATCACCATACAACTTGTACTACATAGTGAAATTCCATTTTAGCTTTTACTCGTAACCCATATGCTTAATTGACCTTAAATGGTCTCAAAGTGGGAAGTTGAACTGGAGTGGGTAGGGCTACGATAAAAATTCTGCAATCTGGTGCCAAATTTTCACCACCGTAATAGTAAAGCTAAAGATGATGCCTTCAACCAATTCTCCAGACACGCTAAACTCAAATATTTCCTCAATTTTGCTGTAGAAAATTGTACATTATCGACAAAAATTGTTCCTACTCGTTCTCTCGGTGTTCAAAGTTTATTCGTCTATTTTGTGTCAATGAAAATCTTTCCGATTTTTATACGAAAACCATTTTAACCGCTTCAACAGATATGGTGGCGTCAGGTGTTCCTAGACGAAATGGTCAACGACATGCCGTCTCTGTCACAGATATGGCTCTGGATTTAGTCGAAGTCTCTCATTCCTTTGTGATTCCTCATATGCCCAATGAACCCCTCAAAATTCGCGTTGGTATACACTCGGGTAAGTAGACTAATCATCTATAGTGCCAAGGGGGGGGGGCACGTTTAAATTTAAAAATTAAACCCAAACCTGTCCCTTCAGGTCCTGTGTGTGCTGGGGTGGTGGGTTTGAAGATGCCGAGATATTGTCTCTTTGGCGATACAGTCAACACCGCGAGCAGAATGGAGAGCAATGGAGAAGGTGGGATTTTTATTCTGCTGTAAAACTTACTTTCATGATCATTGTATTATATCTAACATGCTGGTTTTCTTCAGCCTATAAGATCCACTGCAGTGACGTGACTCATGACATTCTGAAAAATCTCGGCGGTTTTCTATTTGAAGAACGAGGGACAATCGAGGTTAAGGTGAGTGCCGAGACTATATCACCATCAGAGCTTTATTAAACTAATCCCGATTCATAATGCTTTTAGATATTAGAATATTTTATTTATATCAAATGACAGGCGTTTTGATAGTACGATTGGTCTTTATTTCAAATGGCAGGCGTTTTGATAAATGCCATTAGCCCTTTAGTTGACTTCAGGCTTCACAGAGGGGAATGAACATCAAAGTAAAAAAAAGTCGAGAAGGGGGGGGAATAGAAGAGAGTTTCAAAGATGTAAAAGAGACAGGCACAAAGGTAGAAATAAGGTTAGGTGAGAAATGTGGAAGTAGTCAAATATGACATACAGTGGGGGGATGGTAGTTTGAAGTCAGAAGTCAACTGCCCATTGGGTCATGGTAGTTTGAAGTCAGAAGTCAACTGCCGGTTTGTGTGAGTACTGTGAAAATGATCGAATATGACATGGAGTCAGCGAGTACTGTGGAAGTAGTCGAATATGACATACAGTGGGGCGAGTGCTGTTGAAGGGGTTGAATATGACAAGCAGTCGGGCTGATTGGTAGTTTGAAGTGAGAAGTCAACTGCCGGTTGATAGACGTAGTTTGAAGTCAGAAGTCAACTGCCGGTTGATAGACTTGATGGTAATTGAAGTCAGAAGTCAACTGCCGATTAATAGACTTGGGGTCATGATAGTTTGAACTCAGAAGTCAACTGCCAGTTAATAGACTTACTCATGGTAGTTTGAAGTCAACTGCCAGGTAATAGACTTTAGTTTGAAGTGAGAAGTCAACTGCCGATTGATAGACTTTTATTTGAAGTCAGAAGTCAACTGCCAGTTAATAGACCTTTTCAGTCAGAAGTCAACTGCCGGTTTATAGACTTTTTTGCCGTTTGAGTAGTCAGAAGTCAACTGCCGGTTAATAGACTTTTTTGTGAAGTGAGAAGTCAACTGCCAGTTAATAGACCTTTTTGCGTTGAAGTCAGAAGTCAACTGCCGGTTAATAGAATTTTTTTGCCGATAGTTTGAAGTCAACTGCCGGTTTATAGACTTCGAATATGACATAGAGAAGTCAACTGCCAGTTAATAGATCTGGTCATGGTAGTTTGAAGTCAGAAGTCAACTGCCGGTTTGTGTGAGTACTGTGAAAATGATCGAATATGACATGGAGTCAGCGAGTACTGTGGAAGTAGTCGAATATGACATACAGTGGGGCGAGTGCTGTTGAAGGGGTTGAATATGACAAGCAGTCGGGCTGATTGGTAGTTTGAAGTGAGAAGTCAACTGCCGGTTGATAGACGTAGTTTGAAGTCAGAAGTCAACTGCCGGTTGATAGACTTGATGGTAATTGAAGTCAGAAGTCAACTGCCGATTAATAGACTTGTACCGTTAAAGTAAGATGAGTACTTTGAAAGGGGTCGAATATGACATACAGTGTGGGTGATGGATACTGTAAAAGTGGTAGAATACGGCATTCAGTGGGGTTAGTACTGTGGTAGGGGTCGAATATGACATACAGTGGGGTGGTGGCGTACTGTGGAAGGGGTCGAATATGACATACAGTGGGGTGAGCTACTGTGGAAATAGTCAGAAGTCAACTGCCGATTAATAGACTTTTTGATTTTCAGTCAGAAGTCAACTGCCGGTTTATAGACTTTTTTGCCGTTTGAGTAGTCAGAAGTCAACTGCCGGTTAATAGACTTTTTTGTGAAGTGAGAAGTCAACTGCCAGTTAATAGACCTTTTTGCGTTGAAGTCAGAAGTCAACTGCCGGTTAATAGAATTTTTTTGCCGATAGTGAGAAGTCAACTGCCGGTTTATAGACTTTTTTGCCGCACAGTGGAAGTGGTCGAATATGCCATACAGTGGGGTCATGATAGTTTGAACTCAGAAGTCAACTGCCAGTTAATAGACTTACTCATGGTAGTTTGAAGTCAACTGCCAGGTAATAGACTTTAGTTTGAAGTGAGAAGTCAACTGCCGATTGATAGACTTTTATTTGAAGTCAGAAGTCAACTGCCAGTTAATAGACCTTTTCAGTCAGAAGTCAACTGCCGGTTTATAGACTTTTTTGCCGTTTGAGTAGTCAGAAGTCAACTGCCGGTTAATAGACTTTTTTGTGAAGTGAGAAGTCAACTGCCAGTTAATAGACCTTTTTGCGTTGAAGTCAGAAGTCAACTGCCGGTTAATAGAATTTTTTTGCCGATAGTTTGAAGTCAACTGCCGGTTTATAGACTTCGAATATGACATAGAGAAGTCAACTGCCAGTTAATAGATCTTAGTTTGAAGTGAGAAGTCAACTGCCAGTTAATAGACTTGTCATGGTAGTTTGAAGTCAACTGCCAGGTAATAGACTTTAGTTTGAAGTGAGAAGTCAACTGCCGATTGATAGACTTTTATTTGAAGTCAGAAGTCAACTGCCAGTTAATAGACCTTTTCAGTCAGAAGTCAACTGCCGGTTTATAGACTTTTTTGCCGTTTGAGTAGTCAGAAGTCAACTGCCGGTTAATAGACTTTTTTGTGAAGTGAGAAGTCAACTGCCAGTTAATAGACCTTTTTGCGTTGAAGTCAGAAGTCAACTGCCGGTTAATAGAATTTTTTTGCCGATAGTGAGAAGTCAACTGCCGGTTTATAGACTTTTTTGCCGCTTTGAAGTCAGAAGTCAACTGCCGAATAATAGACTTTTTTAGGGTAGTTTGAAGTGAGAAGTCAACTGCCAGTTAATATAACGAATATGACATAGAGAAGTCAACTGCCAGTTAATAGATCATGGTAATTGAAGTCAGAAGTCAACTGCCGATTAATAGACTTGGGGTCATGATAGTTTGAACTCAGAAGTCAACTGCCAGTTAATAGACTTACTCATGGTAGTTTGAAGTCAACTGCCAGGTAATAGACTTTAGTTTGAAGTGAGAAGTCAACTGCCGATTGATAGACTTTTATTTGAAGTCAGAAGTCAACTGCCAGTTAATAGACCTTTTCAGTCAGAAGTCAACTGCCGGTTTATAGACTTTTTTGCCGTTTGAGTAGTCAGAAGTCAACTGCCGGTTAATAGACTTTTTTGTGAAGTGAGAAGTCAACTGCCAGTTAATAGACCTTTTTGCGTTGAAGTCAGAAGTCAACTGCCGGTTAATAGAATTTTTTTGCCGATAGTTTGAAGTCAACTGCCGGTTTATAGACTTCGAATATGACATAGAGAAGTCAACTGCCAGTTAATAGATCTGGTCATGGTAGTTTGAAGTCAGAAGTCAACTGCCGGTTTGTGTGAGTACTGTGAAAATGATCGAATATGACATGGAGTCAGCGAGTACTGTGGAAGTAGTCGAATATGACATACAGTGGGGCGAGTGCTGTTGAAGGGGTTGAATATGACAAGCAGTCGGGCTGATTGGTAGTTTGAAGTGAGAAGTCAACTGCCGGTTGATAGACGTAGTTTGAAGTCAGAAGTCAACTGCCGGTTGATAGACTTGATGGTAATTGAAGTCAGAAGTCAACTGCCGATTAATAGACTTGTACCGTTAAAGTAATAGAGTGGGGTGATGGTAGTTTGAAGTCAGAAGTCAACTGCCGATCAATAGACTTTTTGCAAGTCAGAAGTCAACTGCCGATCAATAGACTTTTTTGTCTTTGAAGCTAGAGTCAACTGAAGGTAGAAAAAAGGCGAGGTGAGTACTGTGGAAGTGGTGAAATATGACATACAGTGGGGTGATGGTAGTTTGAAGTCAGAGGTATATGACATACAGTGGGGTGATGGTAGTTTGAAGTGAGAAATAGGTAGAAAAAAGGTGAGGTTAGTACTGTGGAAGAAGTCGACAGTAGAGCAAAGGTGAGGTGAGTACTGTGGAAGGGGTCGAATTTGACATACAGTGGGGTGATGGTAGTTTGAAGTGAGAAGTCGAAGAGAAAAGGTAAGATGAGTACTGTTGAAGTGGTCGAATTTAAGAAAAAAGGTGAGGTGAGTACTGTGAAATGGTCGAATATGGACAAAGGTGAGGTGAGTACTGTAAAAATAGTCGAATATGATATAGAGTGGGGTGATGGTAGTTTGAAGTCAGAAGTCAACTGCCGATCAATAGACTTTTTGCAAGTCAGAAGTCAACTGCCGATCAATAGACTTTTTTGTCTTTGAAGTCAGAAGTCAACTACCGTACAGTGGGGTCATGGTAGTTTGAAGTGAGAAGTCAACTGTAGGTGAGGTGAGTACTGTGGAAGTAGTCGAATATGACACAGTAAGGTAAGATGATTACTGTGAAAGGGGTCGAATATGACATAAGTGAGGTGATGGTAGTTTGAAGTGAGAAGTCAACTGCCTTAGTCGAATATGACATACAGTGGGGTCAGAGTCAACTGAAGGTAGAAAAAAGGCGAGGTGAGTACTGTGGAAGTGGTGAAATATGACATACAGTGGGGTGATGGTAGTTTGAAGTCAGAGGTATATGACATACAGTGGGGTGATGGTAGTTTGAAGTGAGAAATAGGTAGAAAAAAGGTGAGGTTAGTACTGTGGAAGAAGTCGACAGTAGAGCAAAGGTGAGGTGAGTACTGTGGAAGGGGTCGAATTTGACATACAGTGGGGTGATGGTAGTTTGAAGTGAGAAGTCGAAGAGAAAAGGTAAGATGAGTACTGTTGAAGTGGTCGAATTTACGAATATGGCATAGAGTGGGATGATGGTAGTTTGAAGTCAGAAGTCAACTGCCGGAGTAGTCGAATTTGACATACAGTGGGGTGATTGTAGTTTGAAGTCATGTCAAATGCCGGTTAATAGACTTTTTTGCCGTATGAGAATGTAGGACATATAGGGGGGTCATGGTAGTTTGAAGTGAGAAGAAAACTGCCGGTTAATAGACTTTTTTGCCGTATGCGGAGAAGTCAACTACCAGTTAATAGACTTTGCCGTATGAATATACGTTGCCCAGGGTGCACCACGTGGAGGTAAGTCTATTGAAAAACGAATGCCGAGTGATAGAATTTTTGCCGTAAGAAAGTACGTTGCCCAGGGTGCACCACGTGGAGGTAAGTCTATCGTAGTTAACTGCCAGTTAATAGACTTTTTGCCGTATGAATATAACGAAAGCCGAGTGATAGACTTTTTTGCCGTAAGAAAATACGCTGCCCAGGGTGCACCACGTGGAGGTAAGTCTATCGCACACAGCCCAGGGTGCACCACGTGGAGGTAAGTCTATCGCACACCACAGATATGAGAATACTGTGTTCGACCATGGTTTTGCTTGTTTTTTTTATGGAATGTTCTGGAAAATAACTAGTGGTTAACTCATTACGCGCTTCTTAAGTTGATAAAAACCATGTTTACGTTTGAATTGAATCGTGTAAATTGAATGTAATCACTCTATTTCACTCTCGTATGACTAAAGCTCATGTTTCGCATAAAAATTATCGATTTTCACTCGACTTTGCGCCAATGTCACCTGTTTCCCACACACTTGAGCTCATGATTTACAATATCTACGAAATCTTTCTGTTGTAGAAAACAATTCGATGTCCTCTCGATCTAGACAGTCGGATTTGGTGAAAAGTGGTTGTCTTTAGTTCACCATTATTTACACCCTAGCTCATCTACCATTATCTTCCTCGACCATAACTTCTGTAGAGCATTGTATAAGTTGGCAAATGCTATAACCTCAATTAAATTCCTAGAAAAGTTAGTTCTAACAACAAATAGAGCCTTTGCTTAGTCTTAGTAATGGTAGGGAACTTTGGATCTTACACGAGAAAGCACGAATTTATAGCAGAAAACGCAAGTGTCCACATTACTCTTCCAGTGGCAATAGTCCGGTTAACATGTTCCTATTTGATTAATTAAATAGGGCAAGGGAACGATGCGAACCTGGTGGGTGACTGGTCGAACGCGTCCACCCATTCCACCGGACTGCTGTCCCATTCCCATCCGTCGTATAAAGAAGACAAAGCCTGTTCAATCGCGGAGGGTCTCACACTCACCTCCCAAATCCTCCACTCCATCGGTTCAATCGCCAACTAGACAAGTAAGACACACAATTAACAATTCGAGTGGGATGAATCAATGCTATTAAGGGGGAAACTGTCTATATCAAATGGCAGTCTTTATGATAATAATAATAATTATATCAAATGGCAGGCGTTTCCATTTCAAAGTATTATTATTATATCAAATGGCAGGCGTTTTAATCATTTTTATTATTATATCAAATGGCAGGCGCTTTGATTTTATCATTAGCCCTTTAGTTGACTTCAGTCTTCACAGAGGGCTGGGATGAGTACTGTGAAAGTAGTCGAATATGACATGCAGTGGGGTCATGGTAGTATGAAGTGAGAAGTCAACTGCCAGTTAATAGACTTCTTTGCCGTATGAATATACGTTGCCCAAGTTGCACCACATGGAGGTAAGTCTATCACACACCCCAAGGGGGGAAATATTGAATGTGATTCACTCTTAGTGTTTTATAATATTCAATTTACAATGTCATTTCTGTTTCCACCAAATATTTCCCTTCGCCTATTTCTGCTTAGTTTCGTTCAGCGTAAAAGGACCACCATTTAGGAATGTTTTGAAGATATATTTCTTCGGCATCGAAATACTACTAATAAGGAGGCGATCGATTTTTTCTCACTAGGGGTTTTTTAGTTTGTTAGAATTTTTCAATTTACCGGTTTGTGATCATACGTTTACTTATGGTGTGAAATATGCCTTTTACAGGGAATTTTCAATGGCCCATTCTGCATTCATGTCACTTTGATCTAGTTTTCTTCGAGGAATTCTTTACTTAATTACTAACTGCTTAATAAATGTGAAAAACCTTCACACAAAGCGATGAGAAAAGGTAAGGTGGGGTGAATACTATGGAAGTGGTCGAATATGACTTGCAATCGGGTCATGGTAGTTTGAATTCAGAAGTCAAGTGCCGGTTTACACCGCCCAGGGTGAACCACATCAAGTTAAATCTATCGCGCATCCTTATTCGAGAAGTTAAATTAACTTAATCTTTCTGGTTTCAGAAGAATCCATCCATTTCAGTAATTGAGACTGAAATGATGGTGGACCAGAAGGAAGGCAACACCAACCCCGACGCCTCGTTGATCGATGATCCTGACAAGAAGGCGAATTCATCACTGGCACCTCCTCCCGTAAACCATCTCTAGACTCTAACTCCGTGTCCTCAATTTGTCATGCAATCCAGCACTAATTCGAAATGGAAGGAAACAAAAAAATAAGACAAACACGCAAATTCAAAAACTCTACTTCTCTTTTTTCCATTTCTCTTGAAGTGATATTCCAACCAGAGTAGATTTTAAATGACATTGGTTGTCACCATTATTTTAATGTGCGCACTTGTTTTAATACACTGAATTTTAAAAGAGCATGGCGTATTTTCTTGGTGTTAGGTATTTTTGATCAAAATTTTCTTTCTATGTTATTTGCCTTGTCACGAATAAAGTAGGTTCTGTTTTACGTATTTAGAATGAATGGAAGAAATGTTTTAATTTATTTAGAACTAAAAGGCCGGATAAAGAAAATGCAATCATGTAACCATTCTGATATTGAACTTGATTACTCGCTGCCAATCATTATCTAAGCATTAAAATTCAATTTTCACTAGTTTTATCCATCAAAATATTAAATCAATTAGTATATGCTTTGTTTCATTAAAGTACCACGACTATTTCTAAGTTGCAAAGCTACCTGCCACGTTTTCAATTTGAACTCTCAGACGTACGCATATCAACTGTTTGTCAAAGGTTTAACTTGACAACCATTAATGGCTAATCTAATTAGAAAATGGGAATTTTATAGGGGACACCAAAAGTACAGCTTTTACCATTTTCGCTGGTTCAAAATTAAGGATTCGTTAAGTACGAAAGGACTTTTGTCCATTACAAGGTCACTTGATTTCACCACATGTCATCGATTATGCCATGGTTAAAATGGCTGCCACGCTTGACACGTCGTTCTACGAGAAAGCCATAGAGGGCTAAGTAATGCCAATCTAATTTCATATTTTAAGTTGAGGGAGACTGAAATACTATGACTCAGGCTGAATTTGAACTGATTTTGGCAAGGAAGGCCAAAGAATTTATTCAAGTTTACAATTCACCTCCAAAAGGCAACGCCAGCTGGGATGTTTTTACTCGAATTCGAACCCTTGGAAAAGGAGCTTTTGGACGAGTTTTTCTAGTTCGTTATAAAGACACTGAAAAGTATTACGCCATGAAAGTGCTATCCAAACTTGATATTGTTAAATCTCGCCAAATCGCCAGTGCTATTATGGAAAAGAGACTTCTAGCTTCTGTAAATATTGAACAGATAACCAGGTTGGTGTATACTTTCAAAGATAATAGCTTTCTATACCTCGTAATGGAATTTGTTCCTGGTGGTGAGCTTTTTTCCTTGTTGAGAAGTATGAAGTATTTTTCGGAACCTATGGTGAAGTTTTTTGCTGCTCAAGTTCTTCTCGCATTTGAATATCTCCATTTTCTTACCATCGCTTATCGAGATTTAAAGCCTGAGAACCTACTTTTAACTGCAGACGGTTTTATCAAGGTTACCGACCTTGGATTCGCAAAAATGCTGCCTGTTGATAAAAGAACTTGGACGGTTTGTGGAACTCCAGATTATATGGCCCCAGAGATTATTATGAATAAGGGCTACGGACATGCCGTAGACTGGTGGGCATTTGGAGTACTGCTCTATGAAATGACAGCAGGGTTTCCTCCTTTTATGCATCAAGAACAGATGAAGACTTTTGAACACATAATCTCAGGAAAGGTGAAATTCACGAATCAGTTCAGTAATGACTTGAAAGATCTCATAAAGAATCTGATTCAGACCGATCTCTCGAAGAGATATGGGAATTTGAAGAATGGGGTAATGGATATCAAAGGGCATCCTTATTTTAGTGATACGGATTTCATAAGTATCTTTACTCACAATGCAAAACCGCCGTATGTTCCAAGGGTAAGGACTCCTGGGGATGCCAGCAATTTTGAAAAGTGGGAGGAAGAGGAACTTATCATTGCTGAAAGGGAGAAATTCGCGACGGAATTTGCGGAGTTTTAATTTATGGCTCAACATATTTTTCGTATTTTCGATTTATTTTTGAAGGACTACTATTTACTTCCATTAGAATTTGTTCAGTTTGATCGATATTTAGTAATTTCATTCAATGTTTTTTTATTTTATGAATTTATTAAAATTTTTAATTTTCCTCCTTTCCGTTAATATGGCCAACTTTTTTTATATTTTATTTAACCTTAGGCAGGTTACTTTAAACTTGGAGTTTAAAAGAAATTAATCGGAAGAGAAAAGGGCGTTTGAGTGAGTAATTGAGATTATATTTGGTAAAAAGATTAGCGACGTGCATATGATGTAGCCGACAAAAGTTCAACGATCATCATAAAAGTCTACACTCTTGAAATTGATAAATTTTCTATTTATTTCACTATAAACGAGAGGAGGAGAGGAGTAAGACTATGGAGAAATATTTGAAATAGGTCTGTGCTAAAAATGATACCAATCTCATTTCTAAACACAAATAAATCATGGTAGTATGACTGACCTCAGAAACGAAACAATAATTCAATGAGCTCTAACTAATGTGGCCCATAGTCAAGATATCGACTCCTGAAATTTTGTCAATAGGCCATTTTAAATTGGAACTATTTTCTTGATTGGCAAATGAACTGCTCAATACTGCCCGAACTGAAATTAAGTAAGATCCCTCGATTTTTTATCCCCTTTTCATCTTCCTCTGTTTCTCAACTATTTTTATAAGTGGAAGCACAATGAAAATGTCATAATTTTTAATTGTGAGGAACAGTTGAAAGTGGTTTGCAGAAATTCCAGTAGGTGATTAAGGGGGGGGGACAATCAAATCGATCCTGAAAGTAAAATCAAGGAATCAGGTGGTTTTATTTCATTTGATTCATGGATTCGGGTTGTGCAATATTAATTCGATAAATATCTCGCTATCGGAAATTGGAATTTCATTATGCGGTCTTTGAATTGCAGTAAATGATTGCCCACGATATCCGGTAAGTGTTGGATTTTTTTAGAAAAATATGAGTCGGTCTTTCTACTTTAGTAATTTCGTCGTCCAATAGTCTAGAAGATATATTATCTTTCAATAATATTCAAATCAAAGATGGAATAGGTAACACTCTTTTCCTTTTCGTTTACAGTTCCACCAACAAAAGATACTAGGAGAATTTTACGCATCCACGGATGCCAATATTTTTTAATATCCTCTTCTAAGGGCTACATGTCACCTTTTTGCACTTAGACGCTTTATCCTGTTAATTGCCTGGTCACCCTTTCTCTTTCCTGATTTCGGATTCTTCCCACTAATTACTCTCAAACAGCACAATTCTTCTCCATTCCATACTTATTTGGGTGACAAAGATTGGAGTAATCTGGTAGTGTAAAGGCTTGGGTATACTCTAGTACTAAGGCCTACATATTTCAATTTACCTCCATTTCCTTCATTGGTTTCTCTGGGAAAGCCTTTTGCGAAGAGCATGCTTAATTATCAAATTCAAAATAACATAAAGTTTTTCATTTTAATTCAAATATTTATTGCTTTTAAATTAATGCCAATTTAGGCGAATGCATTTTATCTCATTTAATTCATGTTTTTTAATAATTGGTAAACTTTATTTACCCCTATATCTTGCAACTTGTTTGTAAATTCCGCCCATATCGGGATCACTTTGATTGGCTGAAAGTAACATCAGCCTTCGTTTTTTAATTGGCTAAAAGATTAACGGTATTGTAATAATCTCTATCTTTGGGCTAAAGACGGCCGATCATGTTCAGATTCCTTCATATGCGTTTCATCCTTATAGTCCTCTTCTGCCTATTTTCTTCTCTGTCATCGATACCACAATACCAATATAGTAGAGATATTAATCGAACCCTCTCCGAGGAAACTTGGCACTTCTTCCTTAATCGAAATCAAAAGAAGTTAGTCACCAGCCCCTACGATGATGCATTGTTACACGATACTCAAAAGCCCCTTCCCCCTGATGCTTTTCTTTCTCCACGGAAAATGTTTATCCTTCTTGGACCTCGATTCTTCAATCCCGATTTGCAGTCTGTCTCCATACCAAGAGAGGCCTATCTCTATCCTGACGGACGGCTAACTTTTCCCAATAAAACCAGAATTTCAACCAAACTTACCAGGAAGAGAATTTTCACCCTCAGGAAGTACTTAAATAGATTATTTAAACGAGAGGATGTTCAGGCTCTAAGCACGTATGCTACTTGCCCAGTTCTCTACGCATGGAAGGATTACGGTGAACAGTATTGGCCACGTTGGGTGAGAGAAGGAAATTGTATTGATCTGGAAGGTACATCTTGTTCCCTGCCCCCCGGAATGTTCTGTGTTGGGCATGAGGAACGCACTGTGGTAATGTTGCGTTACTTATGTCCATTGAGTGAAAATGAGGATAGTTGCAATTGGTATCGAATGCAGAAGCCAGTTCTTATTTCTTGCAAGTGCGCCTGCAGATGACATTCAAAGAATAAAACTATGTAAAAAGAAGAGTTTTGACTTAATTTCAATATATATATATATACATTTGCAATAAATTCTTCCAAAAGTGTACTTTGTACTATTGTATTTCCATCAATTGTGTTAATCTTTGACTTATTTATGAATGTCGAATTGCAAACGTTTGACTAAGCAATATTAGAAAAACCTTTTTCCACAAATCAGTTTAATAAGTTTCTTTTAAGCGAATTGTCCTTACCTAGATCAATTTCCTTTTATTTTATGTAATAACATGACACCGCCTTTACTGGAATTTTTTCACTTCTCTTTATATGTATCTGCGAGTTCGAATTTAACTAAACTAATTTCCACCTTTGTAAAACCAGAAGAACTCTCCTCTTGCCCTACCTTGGTGCTGTCTTCGTGCGATTTGAAAATTTCCATGATTTAGTGGATAGTATTGTGTTTAAAGAAACGCCTATAATTATGTTCGTTATTACAACCCAGATTTGATTAAAGTGGCTTTTTTATTTCTTTGTCCACATTCAAGTTATTTTCCTTGAAATTGTGCGAAAGATCCCAGAATTTTTTATCCAATGAGCAAAATTTCATTCCACGTTTGGACTCAGGAAGCCTTCCAGTTTTCGTGAAATCGACCTTAAGACTGTAAAGTGCCTTGTTTCCATGAAATGGGAAAGTGGAATCTGGTGATTTCGTTCTTGATAAATTCCTTTTTTCATCGATTCAGAGGTTTTTATCATTAATAACATTTTATTTTTAATCCCTCCGTATGAGAACTGTTTCAGAGCTAATACAGTTCAATATACACTCACATTATCGCGTTGAGGATTCTACTTGAAACTTGTGGATAAATTTGAGAAGTATTGTATTCAAGGGAGTAAAACATCATTAGCGCTGTTTATATCTTAAATACCTTCGCTAAATTATCATTATTGTTTCAGATTAAATAACTTATTCTTCACTTGTATATTTTAATTATGCAATTTAACTGAAATAAGTACCAATTTGTTAAATATCAAAAGAATATGTATAGTTTGAATTGGCTAGGTTTGAAAGACTGAGTAGTGTCACTATGCTTATCCTTATAACTGCAGAGCTGTTAATTAGTTTTCACTAATTTAATTTTTTACGTCACTGCCACTTGAATTCTCGCATTAATTGCTTTCGAATTACTCAAGAAAATGTTTTCATTAAATACCAATTTTAGCAAATAAGGAGTCCGTCATGTACCTTACATTAGATTGACACTTCCCCCTAAATCTTTTGTAGTAGGAAAAATTAAATGCAAAAATAAATAATTCATACATTTAAGTTAAATATGCTTTAAGCAAATGTCTCATGCAATTTATAAAGTAATACAAAGTGAATTGTGATTGTAATTTGTTAAAATACCGTCGTTTATGGTTATGGAGAAGCTTGTACTATTTTTCTTTTTTTGTTCAAATGGCCCTCAATTTGGAGCTCCTACCACGTAAGTACTACCACCGCTAGTTGGAAATTTGCTAACGCAAAAAAAACCCAGTTCTTGTGAAATAGCATTTTTGCATTCCAAAAGAGATACAGCATGAGGGGGGGGGGAGAGGAGGAAGGGGGGGAGGGCGGCGGATGATGTATAGAGACGGGGTAACAGCCGCGTGTATCCCCACGCCCTCATCACCCTCCCAAATGCGAACCAACAAAGTGATTGGCCCAAACGAAGGTGTGAAAATGATTAGTGACTTTCACACCTTCACGAAAAGACTTGTGTCTGGATAATGGGTTGTAATAACAACTGTGACAACTGTTGCGGCCACACGCGTTCGTGAACTCTTCTATACTAAGCGGTTACAAATCAGAATGTAGAAGTTTCTCTAAACTAACACTTTTCAATTGCCATTTGTCCGTTTGCTGTAAAATAGGTGCAGATACTCAGACTCGGCAAAATAATTTGAACTAAGATGACAATTTTCCATATCGATGGAAATTCCTTTTTTAAGATGAACAAATATTTATACCAAATGGCAGGCGTTTTGACAGTTATCATTAGTCCTTTAGTTGACGTCATGCTTCACAGAGGTGAAGGAACATCAAAGTGAAAAAAGTCAAGATGGGGGGGGGGGGGGACAGGAGAGTGTTTCAAAGATGTAAAAGTGACAGACACAAAGGTAGAAAAAGGTAAGGTGAGAATGTGGAAGTAGTCGAATATGAAATACAGTGAAGTGATAGTAGTTTGAAGTCAGAAGTCAACTACCGATTGCTAGACACTTTTGACGTATGAGTATATGCTGCCCAGGGTGCACCACGTGGAGGTAAGTCTGTCGCACACCCCAGATGAACAAATATAGATATTGGTTGGATGCCTGTTTAGTTAGTTATCGCACCAAAAGTGTGATTTTGATCTTAACCATGAGCGTGAAAGGTCAATACACGATAAACCTGTGTATTAAAAATTTTCCCTTCAGTTTTCAAACCCGTAGAATTTAAATCTCGTAATAATCTGGCAAATGGAAGCAATCAGTTCATTGTTCTTCAATTTTTGAACATACTGAGATTTGGCCAAGATTAAAAAGGCCACTCTGTTGAAAACTATTCTTTATATTTCATTCTAGGTTAATAGGAAGTATTTTATGTTTTTCTGTTTGAGTAACTCGAGTTTTTCCTCAACTGATCATCATAATTGCCAAATTAATGATGCGTATTAGTAATATTTTTGCTTTGATTTAATGGTACATTGTTTTTAGCTATTAAATACTAGTCAAATAAACGCAGTTCTGCGTTATAATTACTTTTAAATTTTGCTATCAAATCAATAAATGCTTACGGTCGAACATAAAATGTATTGCAAGACAAAAAAATTTATTCTTAGTAATTGAAGTCGTATTGATGCCAAAGAAAAGAAATAACATCAAAAAATAACTGATGTCAAAGTTGAGTAAATTTTACAACCAATCTCTATGACAAAATCACAAGTATGAAGTTACCCCCACAATTATTACCTCACTATTACCTCAACACCATAGGGGAAACAAATCGCATGGAGTGAATAGCTCCTTTTCTGGATGTGAGCCATGGCGCACAGATTAGTCATTAAAATTCAATTCTGGCCACGCTGACTATGCGATGTCTATTATTTGTTGGTTGACTAAGAGTTCTCTGTACTATCATACTTATTTAGTCCTCAACACGATCAGAAGCTCTACCACACCTTCTATTTTATACGAAGGCACATGAGGTTTTTTGAATAAAATGTGTTAGAATTGTGCTTTCCACAGTCTCAGATAATGAATGAGGAAATAAGTTCGGGCTGATTCTCAATATAAAAAGAAATTCCATAGTCTAGGTATTTAAATTTCAATATCATAAAAGGCATTGGCTATGATCAACATATATTGATATAATACAGGAAAAATTTCTTCGTCTTACATCGAGCTTAACAAATTTGATCTAACATCGACAAAATCGTTATTTTTAGCTTATGTTAAGGTCTTTGATGACTATTATTATAGTATTAGTGATTTTTGTGACCATTCAGGTTAGCTTCGAACCTTGCACACTTAGCCTGTCATATGGAATGGCTTTCTGTGCAAAAACGTTAGGGTCTAGCCTTTTAACTGGGAGTGTTCCAGTGCAGCTTTTATTGTTCCGTCAATTAGGAAAATTAACTAAATTTGTATATCCATGGATGAATAGGCGTAAACCCTACTGGATTGACCAAAAAGCCGATCCAAATCTGAACGAAGATATAACCCCTGAGAATACCGAATTCCTTTTAGCCGATCGTGAAGAAAATTTTACCAATCGTTTTACTGGTAAAAGTCTCACTAATGAGGCCAATCGTCCCTGGCTCCCGATGGAGACCCAGCGCTGTGGATTAATTGGCCTAAAGTTGGGCATATATCCCATGTGGACTAAAAATGGCGAGAAGGTTGATTGTACGATTATACAGGTAGTTAATTTTGATGCTTGTAAAAATTATTTAATCGTTGATTGTATCTTTTTTTTTCAAGCGATCATGACCCCACTGTATGTCATATTCGACTACTTTCTCAGT